TCGTTCAGGATTTGATTGAATCATCCATACTGATATTTCCAATTTCCAACGTAGTTGCAGCAGCTACAAAGTATTCGATGTCATTGTTAATCCGAAGAATAGTGACAGTGCGATTTGTGACAGCACAAAGGGATGTGAATAGAGTTGTAACATACGGCAATACAGTGATTGGCACGGTGATGCGCAACGACGTCAAATTGTAATTATTTTCCTAATAATTAGTAGGCAGTGCAGCAAATTACTAGCAGTTCAGAAGTTTCTAATGGAAAGACCAGGCTTTAATCACTATTACTGGATTCACGCTTCGCAGCTAAAAAAATCAAATTTATGTTAGAGGCTCTATTGGAGGATTTGGCAAATCTCCATATGCTACTTGAATTTATGCAAATTTTTGGCATATCTGGTACTACTTACCGCGGCTTAATAACAAGACCATCACGATGAGCGCAACTGATGATGGCATCATCCTCGTGGTGATTGTTCAAGCAGTGGTGGCTCAATAGCGCAACTTGCGCTGTTGGCTCTTAAATTGAAACTGTTGCAAGTTCATCACTCGAAATTGATAGAGCACCGTGCACGCCTTCTTTATACATTCATTGGCTCCGATTCAAGAGGCGGCGAAGACTCCTCATCCATGTGATCAACAGCAATTATTGCTATTCCCAATTCCTTCTTTACTTTTTGATTACTTTTCCAAATACTAACAATATCGATAACACTAACATTGCATGTCAATAGAAACCTAAGATATTTAATTATTTCAATCAAACTTAGTTTACTTCATTTCTAAAAAGTCATTGGGATAAATCTATTTATCTCTATAGGCGTAAGCTGAGCTTATTCTGAAGAAAGCGCCCGTGCAGCCCCAATGGTGCGGCGAGGCCGTGAGGCATTTTTCCGAGTCAAAGGGCTGCATGGAAATGAAATTGACATCAATTTCAAAAGTTAGGAATCGTTCCTCCTGCAAGCATCCCGAAATTTTGCGGCAATGCGCCACACACCGTCGCATCCCCAAAACCATCGCGTGCGCGATGAGCTGCTTTGATCGGTATCATGAGTGCGCATGACTTCGTGGGCCAGTCACAGTTGACTTCGTGAGAACAAGTGGTGGCGGCGCAAACGCTCCCGCCAGCGCTCCACTGCCGATCTCGTGCGCACGTCGCTTGGCGATGCGCAAGGGGATATGCTGTGCCCAGCGCGCCCCTTGGCCACTACCAATAGGCCTCTGTATAACTGCGCAAACCCATCACACATTCTTGCACCCTGCACTTCGGAGCCTCCAACGGTGCTGTCGCGAATTTCATGTCCATCTGCGTCGAAACAAGGAAAGAGTCTCATGTGGTCTGGGACATCGTGGCGCGAATCAAAGTTTGGAATCTCAAATCTTTGACGCACTCTTTTTGGCCACAATGGCGGGGGAGCCGAAGTCAAATGCCAGGCTCTCCGGGTTCTAGGGGTCGGTCCCGTTTCCGACTCTCCGAAGCCAGTGCTGGGCCAGCACTTTGAAACCAGCTTCAAAGCCAGGGGTTGGGTTGGGTTGGGGTGGGTGGGGGTGGGTGGGGGGGGAGAGATTTGTACTGCAGAACTCCGGACGAAGTCGATGACTTATTGCCCGGGGCGGCATGTTGCCTTTGGCGTCAAAATCGCAGCGTGGTTGATGCCCCTTAAAATACGCGCCAGCAGTCAAAAAATGTGCAGGCCATGCGCCCTGCACGCACCCGGCAAGCGTGCAGCACAAACCTGCGTTGCGGTCAAGGTGGCTTGAAGCACCGCTTGGAAAGACGGCCAATCCTAAGGAATCATCTTCGAAGATCCCACACACCAACGCGAATCCCAAGGAATCTGAAGCCAAGTGTCGGCCCTGATGAGTCATTAGGCAGAGGCAAACCGACAGCACAGTTGGCTGGCCGAGCGTGTATACTGTTGGTATTTACATTTATCCTTCCGCATCGGAAAATTTTACCGTCGCGGTTTTGCTCCATATTTCGGGATTAGAGCGTTACTTTCAATTTCCATACGTTGCTTTCCAAAGATTCTGTGAAAAATGGCTATTTATTTTACTGCTTCTTCCTCCAAGAAGGACCAAGCGTTACGTTACTATGAGGAAGATTTTCAAAACCGACGGTAGTCCCGGTTGTATCACTAATTCGACTCGCGAAAAGTCGACACCAGAACTTGAGAACATCCTTGACCATCCCTAAAAATCATCGGTGAGTCAGTAGTGGATTCGTGTGGCGCATCGCCTCACTCCCCGTTTCACCAAAGCGCTGAGGACATGTGCCACGCCATTCCAGACAGTTTTTTCCGGTGTTTGAAATGCAATTTTGCCATTGATACGACATGCAATCACGTTTCCTGTCATTACTTTAATCAAATCACCGCAATGTACAGTGTGGTAGTGCTGTTCCGGTACTAGATGGGCAGCAGCTTGCGTGCAATTGGTTGCTCTTCGATCAAGTACGAACAGTTGCGCTCAGAAAATTAGTAATCTATATGCTGGCGAGCAGCCTTGTCGGGCATATGCCATGAGCAACGCGCCCCAGCAGAAGTTTTGAGCATTCAGCGCAATTAAATTCATTTCACATATCGCATTGAATTGATGCAGTCAACACAGCTGCAGGTTTGTTGGCTCGTTATAAACATATGAGCACAAGTCAGGACACACACGCTGCGCATCCTTTGCGGTCCTCTGATCCACCAGGCTCACCGGCTCAGCCATTTAATCTGCTTGTAAATGTAAGTCAAACATCAGCTAGAAAACCAAACAAACTTTATTGATTTGGAAATCCTGCATTGGACATGTGCGCCAAATTTAAGTGGCGCCAACACATGGCAATCTTGGCGGCGGTTTTGATGCCGATGCACCAGAGACATTTGCTTGTGATCGGAAATGGACGGTGCCAATTCTTTTGTGCCCGACAAATCTCAGTCCTTTTCGTTGATCAGTAAATTGTTTCCAACAGCAAGCCGAGCATTATGTCTGATCTCCGCCCTTGTTGTTTCATTTAATGCGTCCATCATTGTAACGGGGCGCGTCATTCGTCACGGGGGCATCAAAAAATTCCTTCAACTCGTCCTGGTGTCCGCTAGTCAACATGTGAGTGCAAATGGAAATAGTATTTTCATAGGCGCACTGGGTACTGGTTTCTGGATGGGGAGGGTAGGGCAGAAAATGTGTACGTTCCAAAAGAATGAAGTAAGAGATGTGGTTGTTTGAAAATGAATGAGGTGAAGCGAGTGACATGCATTTCCTCGGAAGTGCTTATAATAATTTTGGAAGCATCTGGCAGCTGGTAGACCTGTGCATGTGTAAGAAGTCGGAGGAACATCAGTAAACTCAGATGAAGGTACCGCAATTACCGCTCTTATGATTGCTCGTTCTATTGAGTTTGTGTTGAAACTTCGGCCAAAACGATTCAATAATTGAACCAGGTTTTAGGAAGCCTGCCAACAATTTTCTAGGAACGATTTACGGCAGGGCTGCGCGATCATCAGCATATTCGAGGGATTCGAATACGGGATGGGTTTGTTTGTTGTCTTCGTATTATTTTGTGTACACTAGCCAAGCGGCCACAATATTCGAGCTCCGCACTCGTCCAGCTCGCACACGGATTCAGACAGCAGAGCGGTGCAAAAGATGCTAAAGGACACATTGCCAGCCCAAAACTGGAAAAGAGTGGTCAATTCGCCGGGCGTATTTGCATGCTTGTCTACTCAAACCATTCATAGCCAGCAGGCTTGGTTTTTACGCCGTAAAAACTGATCGTATTTACGTTTTTACGCGGAAAAATAGTTTTTACGTTTTTACGCGTAAAAATCCGTTAAAATACGTAAATACAACGTAAAAACTGCCCGGTGTACATAAGGACAGTACATACAGACTTACGGAGTCCGGAGAATGGCAGCCAGATGCCCTGGAAGGAGCAGAAAACGAGTTTTTGTTACACACCATCATCGCCCTTGCCAAGGGCAAGGTGGACACTGTGTTGCGGGTGCTGGATATGGCGGAGGACTGATCATTGTACGCAACTTTCATTGTGTAATATGGGCGTCCCAGCTAGCCGTAAAAACGTAAAAATAGCCGTAAAAATAGGGCCTTTTGCAAATTTACGTTTTTACGCATAAAAACGTAAAAGTAAAAACCAAGCCTGATAGCCAGCGTAGCGAGCGACTTCCGCTGTTAGTCCCGTCGGCGATCATCATCCTGTCACTTAGTTGGGGTGCCACTCGCCCGTCTTCCCAACTACCGCATCTGTGACTGTCCCCTTGTTGCCTCGTTGCAACGTCCTACTGTTTCATGACACTGGCTTTTAATGATATTGTACGTAATGATTCGCCCAACTTCCACGTGCCGCGCAGCACATACCCAGAATTCTGAACCCAGAATTCCAAACGCAGAATTCTCACCTGCGAAGTGTGCAGCTCTTCGCAGAGGACTTTGCATCAATCCGCACCACGGATTTCCGCCAGGGAGGACGCGCCATGGATCCATCCCTTCGTTTATGTTGCGCCTGGGGTCGGCCTTGCACCAGGCAAATACTGGAGCCAGGTGTGAGATAAGCGTTAGATTGGGGGAATACAATCAGACGAACTTCTCCTTATTGGTGGGCTGGGTCTCGGAAAACCCGCCCCTTTGGGGCTTGGCCCACGCTGGGCCTGTCCTCGTAACATTCCCTGGTCCGTTGGCCGTTCGGCTGGCATGACATTCTCCTGTGCTTGCGACCCTTCAATTCCCGTGCCATCTCCCCCCCTCTCTATCTTGCGTACCCCCCGTGCTCCGCAACACTGGCCATGTTTGATAGCGCCGTGGGCGTTGTCCAAAAGCCCCCGCGCTATTCAACATCCCCCACGCTATCCTCTGTGATCAACGGTACCATTTTTATGGAATTTGGTGGTGTCCAATAACGTGTAGTCATGCCAAAACCCTCGTGACACAGTCTCAATAGTGTCTATTTTTGGCCTGCATACATCCCAACCCTGGCGCCCCGCCCCACGCGGCAATGGAATTCAGCGACGAGGCCGTCAAGTTCGCGGGGCCCGTCCCGCCGACCTCCCCGGACGGCCGCTATGTCGCCGTCGCGGTCGAGTACCGCCTGATCGTGCGGGACTGGCAGACGCTGCGCGTGGTGCAGATGTACTCATGCCTGGACAGGATCCAGCACGTGGAGTGGTCCTCGGATTCGTCCTACATCCTGTGCGGCCTCTACGACCGATCAATCGTGCAGGTGAGTGCACTGCGTGGCGAAAAGGAAGGGGGTGCTTAGTTTCTGTTGCTGCAGCGGGCGGCCCGCCCAGGGGCGCATTGTGTGAAACCTGCTTGATTCTGCTTGATTCTGCTTCTAGCCTGGGCGACCCAGCGCACGTGGAGACTGCTAGAAGAAACGAATGGGAGCGCTCGAAGCGCAATAAGCTTAATGGAGAGGGAGAATGGAATGGGCGCACCCCTACAGTGCAAAGAGCATTTGCACGGGCCTTTTTTACCACCAGATTCTGTTTTGGTGGAGGTCATGTGCAGGCCACTGATTGCAGGGCAAATGGCAAGCAGCACGTAGTGTGCAGGTTCCGTGGCAGCTATCACGGACGTAGCAAAGGGACTACGACAACACTTTCTGGCACAAAAATTTCTTAGGCAATCGTCTGAAGAGAAGATGACAAGCCACGATGAGGCGATGTGGCTCCCCTCCCGCCCCACCCACCTCAACCACCATCCCCTCATCCACCCTCATTGCCATCCCACCCAAATCCCAATGCCGCCCACCACCATCCCCACCTATGAAGGATGCTCAGGGCACCCTTCGAGTAAGAACTCTCTGATTGGGAAGATAGTGAGTTGCTGTTCTAGACTGCACATGACATTGAGCAGTAGCATGCGATTGTAGGAGGGGGCACACGCAGACAATGGGCAGTGCAATCGGCAATCAACAGGCATTGATGGGGCCTTATGGCGAGATGAGGATTGCCTTTTGGGCAGAAATGCAACACGCAGCACATCTGGTGCGCCCCTACTTATTGAGAATCGTTGTGAGGCTCTGTGCCATACATGATCAGGCAGGCACAACGTATGGCTTCTGAAACGTTTCCCCAAATGAGCAGGTGTGGTCCATTCTCGAGCCCGAATGGACCTGCAAGATCGATGAAGGCCTGGCGGGCATCACTAGTGCTCGGTGGTGCCCTGATGGGCGCAGCATCCTGGTCACAGCTGAGTTTCAGATAAAGGCAACAGTGTGGAGTCTGGTGGACAAGGCTTGTGTGCAGTTGGCGGGGCCCAAGTTTGCAGATGCTGGGCTTGCATTCAACCCAGATGGCACGCAGCTGGCGGTGGCGGAGGTGAGGTGCGGAAACAAAGGCAGAGTGTGGGAAAGCTTTCGCACATGGAACTGGGCCACGCAGTAAGTATGCCTGTGGCATCAGAGTGTTTCAGACTATTGTCTGCCTGAGAAGGGGATTCAGAATCACATGTGTTCAGTTATTGTGGGATAGGGCCAAGTAGGGAGTGGCCTGATGGAAGAAACGCTCTCAAGTGGGCTGGTTGTGTGCAGTTTCGAGACATGTTGAAGGCCAGGCATGATCTTGTGAGTTCGATCTGCAAGATTCTGTGCAATTGCATTCCAAAAGTGTGTCCAAACTTTCTCTTGTTGCCCTTGCATGGCAGCGCAACAACTGCAAGGACTTCCTGACCATCCTTGCCTGCAGCGACTGGAAGACCCAAGTACACTTTCAGCTGCCAACCCAGGACTTGGCTGACTTGTGCTGGAGCCCGTCGGGAGATTGTCTGGCTGTCTGGGATTCGCTGCTGACTTACAGGCTGCTGGTTTATTCATCCTATGGAGACCAGCTTGCCAACTACACCCCCTATGCAGATGCACTAGGGATCAAGACTGTCCATTGGTCGCCTTGTGGCCAGTTCATAGCGGTTGGCAGCTACGATGAGGTGTGCAGCGTCTCCCACAATATAAAGGCATTTGTGTTTTGAACCGAGGCAATCAAAACACTCTGCATGAAATGGCTGGAATCTTTGTGGTGTTAGAAGTTTCTGTACGAAAATGTCCCTGCTGACTGTTACATCAGGGTCGCAGAGAATGGACTGCGCATTTAGACCTGCTGTTCCTGCACAGTCATGTGCAGCCAGTCACCATAGCGGCAGGCTGCCCTCAGTCAGTGACACTGATAGAAGCACCACATGGAAGCACCACAAACACACAATCGATCAAAGTACTCAGATGAGGCCTCATCGTCCTTGTTGAACATGATTGAACAACTGCTTGTCAAACAGAGACAAATAAAGCTGTGAACAAATGTAGAAACGTAGAAATTGAAGCTGCCAATATCTTGCAGAGTATCCAAATGGTGTGTTGGAACGTGCAGCCAATCTCCTTCGCGGTGCTCCTGCAGGCTGCCCGTATCCTAAGCCATGTGACGTGGCGACCACTGTTGACGTGCAGCCACACGGCTTCAGTGTCCGAACCATCGAACGTGGTGGCATATCGGGAAGTGGCCAGCCGTGACGACAAGGACACGGACAACTCCACCTCGAAGTATGTTGTCTGTGAACTTCCAGTCTCAATTCCATCAAAAACTCCCCCATTGGACAAGCCAGATCCCAAGCTGGGTGTCGGTGAGTAGCCCACTTACTGTACATGACTGGGCACTTCGTGTTTTCAACCACCGAGTGCACTGAAGTCATCGCCTGCAAGGCGCAAGAAGTTGTTTGTCATGGCTGTTCTGACAACTTTTGCGTTGCAATGTTTTGTTGTTAATTACATCCATGCAGCAGCAAAGCATTCTGCCGGCCCATTCAAACGCAACACCATGCTCAGTGCCCCTGCTGGTGCCAAATGCATCAAAGAACTCAATGAAGGAAGATATCTGTGCCCCAATAAGCCGCAGTTTGATATGTGGTCTCCACCACTTCGTAAACAGTGTTGTGTGCAGAATCTTTTCCAACAAAAGATATCATCGTGCAGGACAGTATGTACCGCATACCACATTAATGTGGTTGCTTGATGTCCCCTGTTGGTACAGGTAAGGCGATGCAACCTGAGCTAGTGGTGTAGTGAGAACCAAAACCACATATAATTGGTGCTCGCTGCAGATACGTATGTGATGGCATCACATCGTGTCTGTCTATTCAGGCTTCCTTGGTTTGTTCTCTTCTAGGTGATCACATTTGATCAATGCACAAAAGTGTGGCTGCCAGAGTCTGGCAGATGCACACAGGACACTTCGTGTAAAACGCTTACCTGCTCCAATGCGCCAAAGGGAATGTCTGTCCTGCTGAAAGCTTTGCACAAGCAGAGGACATGACAATGTGCACCTTGAAATGCTGGCAGGTCTCATAAAAATCTTTGCTCAAATTCTTGGTGTGCAGTGCTTGATGTTTTCTCTTGCATGAATTATTGCATTGGGCAGCATGGAACTTTGGTCACGATGAATTATCAAATGTTTTTATTGGATGCTGCTGCGCACGTGATCACCAGCAAAGTGCAAGATCTTGGATTTGTCGTGTGTTGTTGACATGATCTACCCAACAGAAATAGTCAGTATGGCTGGTGAGTTTTATCGACCTCTGGAACAGCCGTCCTTGCACGGTGCCCAGATTTTTCTTGCTCCTTGAACCCCCTGGCTGTTGCAGGTGTGATGGCATGGAGCCCAACTGGCAAATACCTCATGACGAGGAATGACAACATGCCCACCACAGCCTGGGTGTGGAACGTTGAGACCATGGATCTGATGGCGGTCCTGGTTCACAAGAATCCTGTTCAGGGCGCAGACTGGGACCTGCGGTCAGAGACCCTGGCAATCTGCTGTGGATCCACCCGCCTGTACTTGTGGTCCCCATCTGGTGCTTCTGTCGTGCACATACCCCTGCCCGCCTTGCAAGCCTCTGGAATACGGTGGCAGAAGTCTGGTGAGGGGTTCATTCTCACTGATGTGGATGCGTTTTGCATTGGGTACCTAACGAATTAGGTGGGTGTTGTGGTGAAATTTCTTTGGTTGCAATTGCCATCAAAGTGCAGTTTCCTGGTTGGGATGGGCTACTGGGGTGGTAGGTGGCACAGCGCGTTTGGATGGCATCACTGCCTGAAGAAGCAAAGCAGGGATGTGAATTGGGGGCATAGATCACGTGCTGGGCACCTGGGGCGTTTTCCACAGCATAATTGCCACCATTCCAGCTAGTTGTGTGTCGATGGGAGTACAGTTACAGAGAGATAGGCAAGTAGACATGAGCCATCGTGGATCAACGTAGACAGTGATTGGTGTAATACCACTGCAACTGAACTTTGGGGTCCTCGACATCCACACTGGGTGCTTGTGAACAGGACAGATTGCCATCTTCCCAGTGGTGGTGCAGGCAACTGTGATCTTCAGGCCAGCTGGTGGAATCCATGCAAAGATTGCTGATGGCAAGTCGAACAGCAAGCCTGCTGCTAGACAGGGCTCAGTCCAGGCACTCGTCTACAGAAGAACGATTGTCAACATATCAATATCCGCAACATGAGAAAGAATGACGCAATGGTCACCAAACATCTCACTCCTGAACTCAAGAAGTCAGGCTTGGTGGTGGTCAGATCAGTCTCCAGGCACGTCAGTAAGGAAACAAGCCTCAAAGTAGGGGCAAAAGCCTCAAAGTAGGTGCACAGGCTGTATCACACAGCAAACAGCTCTCCTGGAGCTGTGGCCAGGAACACAGTGCCACCAAAGCAGAAAGAGTGAAAACCACACGTCCACCCAGGACTGCAGTCTTTCTAATGATACTGCAGAAAACCTGTTGCCCTGAGCTGTGCCGTACTGAAAATATGTGATATTGGTGAAGGCAAGCAGGATTAAGGGGTGGCGATCCCTGAACGGGAATTGCACGCTCGAGTCCACGGCAACGCTTTACAGCCGAGGCAAAAGGACAACAGGCGTTCTGCCCTTTGTATTCGGTCCGTTCATCAACGTCCTTAATGCAATTTCTAGTGCTTCATCATCTTTTCATGCACTCAGTTGCTAACAATACTCAATCAGTTCCAGCTGCAACAATAGAACTTACTCCAAGGCTTGCAATTACTTGAATTTTGGGGGTGGGAGCATTTCATGAAGCCCTTCGGCCAGGTTGGGCCTGCGGGTGCTCTGGGTGAGACAATACCCTAGGTATTGGTCTTGTTAGCCAAGGCTTTGGGCTTATCGTGAGCTCGCAAAATGAGGCTATGCACGAACCCTGAAGCAGCGTGCTGGACGTCGCTTCAGAGGACTAATGTCCAGAACTTCCTTGTTCCCCTTTGTGGTTCACATTGCCAACTGTCACAAGAGCTTATTTGCGCCCGCTCTTGTGAACTCTGCAGGTTCTTCCTTTGGTTCTTTGACGCAGCGCTAACCCGTGCTTGTAAGATTGTGAAGTCATATGGGCAAGATCTTGTTTGCCGCAACGTTGAACGCACTGGGGCCGGCCTTCACACCCATCAATGGCCAGCTTGACGAGCCACACTGAACCCACATCCCACTCTGCAGAGTGGGTTGCTGCACGGACAGGAGCCAAACATCATTGAGACGCAGACCACACGCCTCGCACACTGCCGGGCACCCGAAGCCAGCCGCAACCAGATGAATTACAGGACAAGCACACCAGTCGAATAACATTCGTTGCAGATGCTCTCAGCATGTAAGTGCCGATCCCCTGACCGTCGGGCCGCCACACCGCGACGCTTGTCTCTGATCGGTGCGTGGCGCAACACGAGCCTCGCTCACGTCACAGACCCTCCATCGACGCGTTCCTCAACTCGCGACGCTCGGGGCGGCTTTCCCCATTGTCGGCCCCCGCCCCAGAGTCGATCCCACGCGCCGCCCATCCGGCCGCGGCACGCCGGAGGTCCTCAAGTCACCTCCAAGGGTCCGCGATTCGATGATCCCCACCGCGGCCACACGCCCCCGTCACTGCATTTTCTCCCGCTTTGGGCAGTTCGGTTTTCTGCGATCCCTACTTCCCCCCAAACGGCGTGCATGCACCGTACACGCGAGAGCAATGCAGCCCCAACACGTCCGGGCACTCCGCACGCCACGGTGATTCCTAAGGTCGCCACTGTACATGCTCCCGCTTTGCGCAGCTCTCCTTTCCGCTTCCCGCCAGTTGCCGAACACAATGGAAGCACCGCGCACACCGCACCATGGATACACTGCACGTGCGAGAGCTACGCAGCGCCAACGAGTCCGCGCATACCGCGCCTGGGTGATTCTTACGATGAGCACGAAAGAGGCGAGCCGGCCGCAAAACGGGGCCCCAAGTTCCAAGTGCCGAACGACGGCATCGCGCATCTGGAAGCTGGGCAACGGCGCAGGGTGGCCGGCAATGCCTCGGTGGCCCAATGTGGCGTAACGTCAAGGCTGTCGAGGTCAAGGTCGCGGGCGCATGGTGGCCTGACGACGATGATCCACTTGGGCTGGGCCGCTGCGGGGCAATGGCATTCACCGCCTTGGTGCACGGACGCCTGGGGTGCGGCCCGGGGCGGACATAGCGCTGGAGGCCCACCGCCCCGTGCGGCGAGGACACGGGCCCTTCACGTCGTGGCCCCGAACGGGGCTGCGATCAAGGGGTCCAGTCGCTCTCATCCGCTGCTCCCGACGAGCCGCTAACAGCACTCCAATTTGTGCGCTACGTTCGACCCGGGCTCGGGCACAGGGCGCCAATGAGATTGAGTTCCCGGGGGATGGGGGAGGATCAACGCGCTCAACGCGAAGAAGAGGACAAAACGGGTTGCAGGCTGGGTCCAAAATTGAGTTCAATGGCCTAACTGCTCAATGCCTGTCATCATCATCGTCAGTTTTGCTACATAACAAGGCAACGAGGCCGATTTTGGATTGCCCGAGCAATGCAGTGTCTATGATAGATTCTGAGCCTGTCAAGTAGCTCACACTCGCCGGGCATCTCTCGCCTTGATTCTCGCCCTTGCTGCATTGCGAGGGGTCGGAGGGTCGGAGTGCGAAGCGGGGGTTGGGGCGGGCAACGAGGGGCGATGATAACATAAGCAACAAACCCTGATGTGGGAATCTGGGTCCCAGCCTAGCCCTGGGAATCCAGGGCTTGCATTGTGAGCCCTTGAGATCCCGATGTTTGAAGCATGCTCCGACGCATCCGAAGGGCTCTGGATGAGCTCCAATTTGAGTGTCTGGTGGTGCCGCTGGTGGTCTCGTCCTGTTGGTTGTTTCGACAACACAGTGCAGAAGGTTGAGCGCGCCGCCGCCATCTGGCCTCCTTCTCAGAGCTGTCAAAATACCGCACAGTGCAATATTCTGACTGAGACGTTGTACGGCATCAACCGACAGCAAAGACCCGGATCTTGCCGCAGTCGGTGCCCACCTGCTGCCCCCCTCCCTCCCACCTGCCATACTTTGCACCGGGCACGCCCCTTTGCGCGTAGGCACCGGGCATCAGGGTGCGCCTCGCGGGCTTCCAGAGATGCCCGAGATCCCAGAAGGCACGATCTGGGTCAATGTCGCCCAGCTCGGCGGCGTGGTGGCCATGAGCGTCGGGGGCGCCATCATTACCACCGCCCTCATGGCGCGGGCCGCCTTGCAGAACCCTGGACAAGACGGCAGCAGGCCCGCTCGGCCGGAGGCGCCGCCTCCCAAGAGGCGGCGGCAGCGCCTGGCGGCGCCCAGGGTGGCTGCGGGAGCAAATGGGCCGGCCAGGGAGATTGTCAGTCCAGATGTCACGGAAGAAGGCGACGAGGATGGTTTTGACCCGGTGTGACGGAATTGAGGGTTGCTGATTGGGGCGGTCTCTGCGCTCGATGGCAGCGCTTAAAGTCAGAGGCCCAGGCGGGTGCTGGACATTTTGGGGATGCTCATGTAGGAGGGGATGGGATCCGAGTGTTTGGAGGGGGCTGGGTTGGTGGGCTAGGGTTGCAAGGTTGACATCTGATCGTTGGGTAGATGTAGCATTGGTTTGGGGGTAGCCCTGCTGCTGAAGTGGTGTAGCAATTTTGTGCTGGTTGTAAGGCTGGTGTTGCTTCTGCGCTTCCATGTCTCATCCATGGCTTGCAACCCAACTCCGGTTGGTGCACGAAGGGAATGTCCGCAAGGAAAGTGCCCACCAAGGTGTTGGTGCAGCAGCTCATTTGGGCACAAACATACGGATGTACTGGCCGATTTTGCTGGACTTGAGTGTTTGGTGCAACGAAAGGCCATCATGCATGGAGAGTGCTGAGCAGCAATTGGCTGAAATGGAAGGAGAAATCACTGCTTAGCCATTGTTCAAGTAGGCTCAAGTGTAACTGCCTGTCGTCACGTGGCTGGTGGATGCATCTGATGTAATGGAGACAAGGCAGTTGCTTGTAGCTCTCTCCATCCCTGCAATGGCAACTCTTCTAATTATGAGGAATTCCCATTGTGCAGGAAGAGAATCTGGCAGCATGGGGACTGGTTGCAAGCCATTTAGACTTGAGAATACCTGAAGGCAGATCCGCTTTCCAGTGCATGCAAAGCCTTTGCATGCACTTTTAGATGTACAAAGCATCTGCCAGCAGCATTTACCAGCTGGAAAGCAGCACACCATTCTGGACTTCATACACCAGCATGCACACACCTGCATACAACAAGAATACGCCTCGAAAGATATAGGTGCACAAAGGCGCCACTGTGCACAGCCACTGTCAATGGCAGCTTGTCACGTCTCTTGGGAGCTGGTGCACCTGCTCACTGGGCAGCAAACCCTAGCAACGATCACTGCTCTACGCAGAAGCATCATCTGTTCCAGCCATCTTGGTAGTAGCAGCAGCAGTCCCCTCTTCAGGTTTCATTGCAGGGAAGAGCAATACCTGGCAACATGGAGCAACACCAACTGATTCAGCGCCAGTCATGTGGGACACAATTGTGCCAGCTGTGCTGATCGTAGCTGGGAATCCAGTGTATGTTGGCGTCTAACGGGCATTGTGTACATGATTCCTTGTTCATAGGATTCCACAAGGTGACACGCTCAGTGAATCCTGCACTGAATATGTTTGTTACAATGAGGCAAAGTGCTCCTCTTCCACATGAACTGAAAACGAGGTACAACGAGCAGCATCCCTTTTTCTTCACAACAACTTGTGGTTTTTTATTCCAGATCGTCAACTGTCTGTATGAGAGAGGGCAGGATCGTACGATCAACTCCATGTGGTAAAAACAGTCAACGGCTGGAGATGAGTGCGTGAGCATCTCACCTCCTTGATATTCGCCTTGTCAGTGAGGAACATGGTCAGACGATCAATTCCCATCCCCCAGCCGCCAGTTGGAGGCAAGCCATACTCCAGGGCTGTGCAGAAGCTCTCATCGACAAACATAGCCTCGTCATCGCCTTGGGCCTTGGCCTGCCAGGCACAGAGACTGCCAACAATAAAGTCCACTGCGAAAAGTGTCACACCTGATGCACAAAAACGCAAGTGGAGGAGCAACAATGCAAATCACAGTTCCAGTTCAAGAAACACAGTCCCGTGAAACACAAATCCCAACTTAAAGAATATCGATCCAGTTCAATTTGCACAGGAGATAAAGTTGATTTTGCAGATACAAAGCCTTGACACGTTTCAACGCCCACAGCCCTGCATATCCGTGCATATCGCAGATAGCGGGAATGCTTGATGGGCACACAAAGCTCACCTTGGCCTGGTCCTCGAATCTCGACCGCTGGACAATTGGGTCGTTCAATTCAGTGTATGCATTTACTACCTCCTTCTTGTTGATGAACAGTTCAAACCGCTCAGTCATGCCCTCCATGCTCCGATGCCTGCAACCAAGTTCCAAACCCGTTTGATTGCACTTTCTGGAACATGACCAGGCATCGCCCATTGCATCCATGATGTGACCATAGACACAATTCGCTCCAAAGCACTGCTTGAGAATGTTTGTTCCACTTGCCTCAGCCAAAATACCCCAGAACTCTAGGCATATTTTTGGGGTATTTCTGCCACAATATCCTCCGGACAGGTGGATGCTGAGTCTAACTCTCTGCCCCACAGCTTTCATCGACAAAGGAGAAAGACAGAAGAGCTGAAGAAACTGCAACAATGCAGCAATGTACATGGCAGTCTGTGAGGTCATTTATCACAGTGGTCAGCAGTGTTCTTTGTATCTGTTGATGGGTAGCTGTTTCAATCTGCGCAAGTAATGAATATGCACTGGGCTAGTAGGCATTTGCCCACAAGTACGCTGTGCATGGACTGCATATTTGCAATTCTGGTGTCGCCCCCGTTGCTGCGGCGTTCATTTGTGGTTAGTACATTGACACAGGTTCAGAAGTTGGACAAGACCTAACATTCGATTTTTAGCTCCATAGTCTGCGCCCCATCATTCCAATATGAAGTGGCGCCCACAGTGAAAAGAGCCATAAAACACACACTATGTAGTACTATAATACGCCCCTTTTTACACTGCCAGCATCTGCCATCAAACGGTTACGTACACTTGCCTAAACACTATTTGTTGCATAAGCGTAGGTACCACAGCACATGTTTGAGAAATTTGGGTGTCTGCCATTGCTACCAATAGAATTCACTGTGTGTGAAACCCATGTCGACGCCGATCCAGCAATGTCCACCACAATTGACACTACAAAAGTTTGAGAGAATAACGCAACGTACCACTTAGCCAGGGGTGACATGATCTGGGGGTGGTCACATATGAATGTCGGATTCATGCAGGTCTCCTCAAGAAACTCCCCAACGAGCTTGTCGAGCAGCCTAGCAGTGGTCGGTGCAGGGCATTCAATCCCGTATTTCTTCACCTAGGGACACCAACAGGGTTCCATTTTACCATGCATGTGCCACACAGGTGCCTGAACTGCATTTCAGAACCTGTCCTCCATAGTGGATTCAAAGTGCGCACCTCATTTCTAAGCCTGTGTTTTTTAATGCAAATGCTAAACTCCTGAACAACGGTTCTTATACTTGCACTTGACTTCCTGTTTCCGCAGTGTGCAGATGATGTGAAGCCTCCTGGTGCAGCAGAATAGTACATAACAATGGGAAACTGAATGGGAATGGTTTGGACCAACAATGGCACAGGACTGGTCCCATTTGCCAGCAGCAGCAAGGGGCAGCTTGTTGCAAGACTTTCTTGCTTGGAACCCATCCAAGGCCCAAGCAACAGGGTCTGACTCTCATTGGTGGTTTGACACACGTTTGGGTCAATGGACATGAGCGCAGCTTTATTCTTGTTGTTTGGATTTAACTGCGGGTGGGTTCTTAGCGCAAGCACTGAATTCTGAGCAAGAGAAGTTCCAGGAATTCCCAATATTTGTGCTGATTTTCATTGCAGCAACGCTGGTCCTGGAGGGAAATTTGGCCCGTAGATCAACAGCTGAGAAGTGGGACTGTTGCTAAAAATTCAACAACTAAATGCATCCCCATCCCACCGTGCTCACCACCACTTCCTGGAGCCACAACCATATGTAGGGATTTGGAGCTGAACCGTTGAACATGGAGTCAGTTCATCACTGGGTGGAGTGTGCACGCATGAAAGCACAGGGAACAAAAGCACCTTTTGGATCCACAAATGCTCAAGGACATCACCTGTGCTGAATACCAGGGGATGCCTACCATCATCGCCATTGAGCTACAACAGCAAGCTGTTCTGCCCAGCAAAGGCAATTGCAACAACAGGCAGCCTCAAGCTGCTCAGCGCACCAGTGCTTCCAGAGTCTCCCTGGCCTCGTTCGTTCCCAGGTCCTTTGGAATCTCCACCCCCAGCGCCTTCTCCAGCTCAGGCACCATGGACAGCCTCTTCCAGGGTGGCGTGAAGTCGATTGTCACTGGTTCATCCTTCCCCTCTGGGTCCTGGTGGTACTGAATCTTATAAGATCCCTTTAGGGCCAGCACCATGGACGATAGCATCTTCTCCGTCATGTCCATCAGGTCATAGTAGTCGGCATAGGCTTGGTAGAACTCGCAGGTGGTGAACTCTGGGTTGTGGGTGAGGTCGATGCCCTCATTCCTGAACTGGCGCCCAATCTCATACACGCGCTCCAGGCCTCCCACCACCAGCTCCTTGAGGTACAGCTCAGGGGCCACGCGAAGGTACAGGGTCATGTCCAGCTCGTTGTGGTGCGTGATGAACGGCCTTGCTGTGGCACCACCGGGTATCATGTTCATCATGGGTGTCTCCACCTGTGGCAGCCGCCCTGGTCATCGTCAACATTGGTTGCCTGCAAACCATCGGGTACATGCCCCCGTACAGAGCCCTGCTAGCAGTTGCCTTTGCACCTTGCCAGGGATGCTTGCGAATTCTGTATCCAAGTACATTGATGGGTTTCCCAGTGTCCACACCACTGCCATTAACCCGATTACATTACATGAGAATGAGGTTAGAGCACCAAGGGAATATCACTATAGTGCAATGCAGGCAACGGCAGAAGCTCATGCTACTCTGCCCTGTGTATTGCCCCTGTTGGACACAGGCTTCTGACTTTGCCATCTGCAGTCATGGGCAAAAGCATCACTATCAGTGAGCAATCATTATTGGTCAGCGTGAAGCTGTTGCTCAGAAGAGCACTGCCTGTTGTGATATGCTATTTCATCCCTTCAACAAGGCAATGGCTGGCATGCACTGGGTTTCCGCATCACACAGGCCCACCATTGACAATCAGTGGAGGACTGCAGCTTTTGCAGGTGTTATCTGCACACAGCAGCTAACTGGGCTGCCGATCCAGTCCAAAGCCACAGTGGCAAACTGCTTTGGGAGTCGTGCTGCATCCTCTACACTGCAGATGCATCGCACATGCACAAGCACAACTCGCCTCCAGGAATCCTCTGTCATCAAGGAATCGTCGCACAAAGTTGATTATCTTTGCTCGGGTCACAAAAATGGCTTGAACCTCCTCGTTGATCAGCAGATCAAGGTACCGTTGGCGATATCTGGTTTGCTGCAGCAACAGTGTGAGCAGTGTCAAATTGGCACGTTCTCCCATCAGAGTTCAGGATACAACCTAGCTCCCCATACAAGAGGATCATCCTTTGGATGGCCATGGTAAGAAAAGTGAACTGTATGCTGGCAAAGATGCAAAAGGCATGGCTGATATAGGCAGCATATCCAGGATGAGAAGCAGGAGGCAACAAACACACACACACACATACACACACACAAATAGGCCTTCAATCTCCTGCTTTGTCTAGGGTCGGCCGCATTTTTCACTCTGCTTTAGTGTAATAAGGAATTTCACTCACTCACTCACACACACACACACATGCACACGCACACATCTATTTGCACATCTAACTGCTGTTCAATACCTGCTCTTGGAGGCCGAAGTAAGATGTTGGTGGCATGTGCAAGCAAGGGGATAGGACAATGAACTGCTGCGCAAATAGACTGAATTCGCCAGTGTTTGACCATCCTGGGTAGCCCTGTACGCCGATTATGTCCCCCCGACGAACAGTGTTGTGGAGTGCTGTGAACCCATCGGCATCGACTTCAGCATTCCTGTGGACACAACAACCTTCAGCCATGCAAGTCAATAAGATACAAAATATGCCCTTCCATGCATTCACGGCACTAGGCAAGACAAATCTACTTTGGTTGCAGTGGGCTTCATACAACCCAAACATACTACACAGTATGCAGTAGTTTGCTTAGTGAACTGAACAATGCCAGATCAGCCCTAAAGGTGGTCAGTGTTTTCCTTGACAAATTGATGAAGGGGTGTGACGTAGTTCTGCAGGAAATGCAATTTGTATTCAAGCTGTTGACCGTGACGTGTCATTTCCTGACATCGACAAAAAGCAACACAGGGACAACTGGGCACACTTCCAGTCGCTGCAGAGCACAAAAAAGAAAGCCAGACAGTCACGCAAGTCCGAACCAGAGCAAATGGCTGGCAGCACATTGAACTGCAAAGGGCACCTTTCAAAGCTCAGGACACAGCACACCAATTGATACATATTGGGAGAGTCTTGTGCGAGCCTCTTGATGCTTCTCGTGCAGTTGGCTGTCTTATTGCTGTTGTGGTGTCAGGCATGCGCATTCATAGTGAAAATCCACACATCTGATTCTACAGTGGCAGCCGTTGAGGCAGCAGTAGTTTGATGTCCACTGCAGGAAAATGGAAGAGCAATTTAATCCTCCAAAAAGTGCATTCCTACTCCAGGCTGTTCGCCCTGAACAACCCCCTCCAAAAGCTGGAGAAACAGGTTTGGCCATATTCTTTGGGAAAGAAATTTGAACGGATTGCCCAGTGATGTCAGGCATATACCTGAGATTGGCGATGATTTGAAGCTTGGCAGTTCCTGTCCGCACATCGTAGAACCGAAGCTTGCTGCCTGAGGCTCGAAGGCTGTATACACGGGCTGCAGCAGACACTTAAAACATCAGGCTGGTGAACATTTTCTGTTAAATCAGCAGCAAGCACATCTGTCAGAGATAATACAAAATACCTCCGCTTTACCCATTAGGCTGTGTCTAGAGCACAAATGCAAGACACCTCCGATTGCATTTCTGCCAAAGATCTGCCAATGTCATCGTGTCCTGTCATCTTTATGCAGTGTTAGCTCCCTCAAGACTCTGCTTTCAAGGCTTGATTTTGGTTCACACCCAAGATGTATGTTCCATGCACGCTGTCACACATGCTGAATGCATGCATATTCCTTCAGGACTATCCATGGCATTTCAAGGATGTGCAGTTCTAGCATGTTTGATATCAACAACATAAACATTGTGGCGCAGCAACATGGAGTACAATAAAGGCATAAAGAATCCAGAAGGCAAGCACCTGGTGTGTCCCCTTGGACATGTGCAACTAGGGTTTCACCATGCGCCATTTGAATGAGTACTTGGCATACAAATTGGATTCTGCACAGTCAATAGTATGCCGCAGCCAGGCAGCCAGCATGCAAACAAGCAGTTGCAATTCTTCAGAATCCGGGCAGACAGGCACTCACCTGCAACAGACACCACCTCGTCTTCCTTGCTGGTGCCTTGGGGAATGTTGTCCTTAACGCGGAGGAGTTCCTCCAATGCATGGGTCACATTGAATTTGTGGGGATATGGGTTGTCCCCAGCAGCCCTCCTCCCCTCCAGAAACTTCACGCGGTTGTTGAAGTACTGTGTTGGGTCTAGCTGCTCTTCAGCTGCAGCTGCGGCCTTTTTGCCCTGGGTGCTGCCGCCTTCAGCAGCCTGCAATACAATCTGACTGCTGAAGCAAGCATCACATTGACACAAAGTGAGGAGGTGCGAACTGCAAGGTTACTGAGGCACACACCCTCTGCACAGGCCCTCAAATATCGCTGTTTGGCTTCTTTTTCTAGGCGGGCCTACAACACTGAAAAGCACAGGAGGGGACAACGCGTTCTTGAACGTTGGGGAGCTCTTTTGTGTTTGGATGTGAAGGTTGCCAAAATGCACCAAACCTATGCACACATTCTGAAGATGTGTGAAAGTCAGGCATCGCCTGCAAGTTGCATGGGCACCGTTTTCCCTGCAAACCCAAAGACAATCGAAGAGAAGCTACGCCAGGTGTGGCATCCACGCCATACCCAACCCACTTCAGGACGATACACAGGGCATGCGCACCTGTCCCTCACGCAAGTTTATTGACTGTCTCCGACGATTTGTGCATCAATTTCAAAGTGTGTGGAGGACCCCAAACCCCTCTTCTTGGGGAGGGGTCAGGCAGCACGTTGCACAGTTGCAAGAGCCATGGCATGGTCGGGTTGGCAGCGCATCCAATGCACGACAAAGGTTGCCGCACCTGTGCGGCTTTCTTCTCTTCCCTCTGCTTAGCGACCTGGGCTTCCTTGTGCCTCTTCTTGAACTCGCTGCCACCGCAACCAGACCGTCAAAAGCGGCGTTCGCCAGACTGCGACCCAGATCACCGCGCAGATCCACGCAAGGCCCCGGGCCGCCAGATGGCAACATACTTTTTCGACATCTCGTTCCCGTGCTCATCCTTGAGCCCCTTGGTGTACGTCTCGGGCAGCGTCCAGCAGCCGTCCGCCATCTTGCTCGCTGCCTGGCCAACGTGAGCGACCAACGGCCAGAAGTAACCCACACCTGGGTGTGGAGCCGAAGCTGGGGGGCAGTCGGCGATCAGCGGGCCGATGATCCCAATGTTTGGCCCATTCCGTGCTCATTGCGCCCACATTCCCCCCCACCCAGTTTCTCCACTGGGAAATTGCGCAGTGGCTGTGGAACCGCGCCCAGAGGCCGAGAGGCGAAGCTCCTTGGGATCGCTGCACGGCCGGCTATGTGGAAGGCCGCCGCGCTCGCGCTTGCCATCTTCTGCTGCCTTTGGGCGGCCTCCCGGGGGTGAGTCCCGCGATCTGCGCGCCATCGCCCGCGATAAAGTGCCCACCCCCCCCGCGACGTGTCCACTGACTCCCCTCCTTCGATCTCGCCCCCCGCCCAGCGGCCGCGACTACTACGACCTGCTGTCGGTGCCGCGCGCGGCCAGCCAGGACCAGATCAAGCGGGCGTACAAGAAGCTCGCGCTGACGCACCACCCGGACAAGGTGAAGGGCAGCAAGGAGGACAAGGAGCGGGCGGCACAGAAGTTCCAAGAGATAAGCAGCGGTGCGCGGTGGGGCGCGGCGTCTGCGCGATGCCTCTAGAAGGGGTAACGCGACGAACGAGGAACTGAATTATTGAATGCATTGCTGATGGAGGGTCGGACATTGGGATGGTCTGAATTCGTCGTCGCCCGGAAGATGCAGGGGCTCCGCTCTGTCTTGTGAAGGCAGACATGGCACCAGGAATAAGGATGCGGGGATATCCGTGCCCAGCCAGCGAGCGGCAGGTCAATTGCCTATGGGCATGGGTGCCCGCGCTTGATCGACTGCTCGGTGAACGATGCTGATCTGTGCTCGGGCGTCGTTCCCCCTGGATGAAACGACAGCCAGAGGGGAGCGCGTTTCTGCCAATCTTGCGCGGCTCCCTTCTGGTTGGTGACGGGATCTGTGCTGTGATCCAGCGTACGAAGTCCTTTCCGACCCCGAGCAGCGCCAAATTTACGATCGATACGGGGAGGAAGGCCTCAAACAACGCAGCGGAGGGGGTGGGGGCAGCGCATCGGACATATTCAAAACGTAAGCGCACTCCTGAGAGGGATCACATCTGCACAGGCGAAGACTGCTGATGACGCTGTTCGCAATTTGTGACGTGAATTTTGGTTCTTGGGATGGGAACCTTCTTGGGTGTTGGTTTCTTGGCTGCTCAAATGTGTTTATTGTCAGTTGGCACTTGCACTGACTGCAGAAGGCAAAGGCACTGCTAGTGCACAAATTCTTCCAACGCAGAGCAAAGAGCAGGACAGCCCTCGTACAGCTTTTCCAAGAGCTGGCAAGGCATATGCAGGGCAAGTCATATTTTATTCAGTTAATGGAATGCGAAGATCCAGGTCACTTGCTCCCACCAGAAAGGATTGGTTCCAAGTAAATCCTCTTTAGACCACTTGGAAGTGTACTGTCATGAGTATAGATCCTGGATGTCAACTGCAAAACATCATGTCCGATATGAGGGTGGCTCAGTGGGCTGCATATTGTTCCACTCTTAACACTGTGGTAACACTGTGGTTGGTAGTCTATTGGATTGGTGTGTCTCCTGTCATGTGTGAGTGGCGCGACAATGACAGCACTAGTTTTGAACAGATTCTTTGGCGGCTTTGGTGGCTTTGGATTCAATGAAGAAGAGGAAGACCAGGTCAGGAAGGGCAACGATGTGTACAGTGAGGTGGATGTGACACTTGCTGATCTGTATGTTGGAAAAGAAATCAAGGTGAGCGATGCAAAGAGAGGAAGGGCAGTACACACAGTTTGCACAAGGTGGAGCGAACTCAGCAGTTGTACTATGTTCCAAGTGCAGACATAGAGTTTTGAAGCACATGCCAAGTACTCCCACTGACTGCCAATCATTTTCACAAAGTTGGCATTGAATGTTGTACATTAATGCAGCAAGCCGTGCAGCTGGCTGAAAGAGGTCACATAGCAGGGGAGCACAAACTGGTTACACTGGGCACATCGTCACGATAATATAATTTGTGACTTATTTGCGCACTGTGGAGAGCCAGGTAGAAGAATCCTATCATGTGCAGTATGCTTGTTGGCAAAGAAAAGGGCAGTCTCAAATGCGGTTCAACAAGTTGTTGTGCCTTTTGACAATGAGGGGCCAATCTCTTGGTGCTGCAGGAACCATTCATATTCATATATCAAGATGCTGCCAAGCAATTACTGAGCAAAGCTGACTTGTTTTCGTCAAGTTAGAAGTCAAGTGAACTTTGTCTCATTACGTTCAAGCTGATGATGTGGTGGTGGTGCTTGATGTTGTGCTCTTGTGGTGAAATTACTCCCAAGCACAGTTTAGGAACAAACAATTCCAAGGACAGTTATTTTGGGGGCCCAGTTTTATTGTGCATGTGCTTGAAATTCATTGGTTGATAACAATATCAGGTGGATGCTCACTGTTTGTGGCTTCATCTCACCAGGTTGTCAGAGATAAAAATGTTATCAAACCAGCAGCTGGCACCCGCAGTTGCAATTGCAGGCAGCAGTTGGTCACTCAGCAGCTGGGTCCAGGGATGTTTCAACAGTACAGCAAGCAGGTAAGTTCACCACAAATTGCAGAAATGTTATCATGGGACACTGAACAGGCACTGGTTGGTTGCTGTTGCGGCCTGGAAGATTCCATAACTTTGTTTGCCTTGCCTATTTGGCACACCAAAACAACTCCATTCCCGAAGAGAAGACCTGAGAATTGCATAGATGGCACATCATGCAGAGTTTGCCCTACTTTTCAGTTTCTGATGTGCAAAGATCCTGCAGCTGAAACTTTCTGGAGCAGCATATGAAACGGTGCAGAATGTGGCCTTGCTCATTCACATATTGTTCTTCCTGCACTACAGTGCTCCAAATAGCTGGTGATGCTTCTTTGATTATGTGCTTGTGCATGTGGGTACTGAAGTGTTGTCCCTTGCCAGGCAGCACAGTTGTCGATGTGGCGTGCTGCAGCTGATCTTCCCGAACTTTGTGCAGCTCACCATGACTGCATCAAACGATTGTATCTCATTTTCATTCCTGCGTGTAGGTATGTGAACAATGTCCAAATGTGAAGTATGTCCGGGAATCAGAGGTGCTCACAGTCCGGGTGGAGCCAGGCATGAAGCATGAACAGGTGCTCACCAAAAAGGACCCCTGCATTTGTGGATGACGTGCTTAGTTGCAAGAAACTATGCAAGAGTTACTGCAGCATACTGCGCCATATTGTTTGGGGATTTTATTTCCTTCTGCAGTTTGACTCTGCTGTACAGGTCGATTGACTACCTGCTCTGTGACCCTTGCGTGAATCAGAATCCATGTATTTGAAATGGTCATTGCTTTCTTGTGCTTGCTTCCGTGGTGACTACAGTTCTTTGCCTTGGAACTTTGGTTGTGATTCTTGCTGATATTGCCCCTCATCTTTATGTGTCATGTGGCCACGCACAGCGATAGCAACATAGTGTACCACGATCTAGGCAGCACTAAATTGCATTCACGATCCTGACACTCTGTACTGCTGTTCCAGGAAATATCATTTTTTGAGGAAGGTGAACCTGCCATCGATGGAGAGCCTGGCGATCTTAAGGTAACCACCTTGCCGCAAGCAGCCAGTTCCTTATTGGGGCATGGTGACGTCCCTTGCCTGGACAGTCCCACATATCTGGATCGCTGAAAATTACCACTGTGGCTGCACCTATTCTGCATTTGGTTGTTCACAGGTTCCTTTGGTCGCCTTGGCAGTTGTTGAATGACTTGTTGTCAATCAGTGGAAATTCGCAGCGACACCTTATCACCATGATTGTTTCTTGGCACAACAGCAGCTTTACAACCAAGGCGATATCTGTTTCTCCATAATGCCAGTGATTGGATTGCTTCAGAGCGAGAACAAATTGCCGTGAGAAAACATTGTGGCAACAGCATGCGCACGCCAAGATTGGTGCAAGGGCTGTACACGTCCTTGTCTGAAACAAATGAAACAAACAACATTGCACGCCACTGATCGTTTCTCTTTGTTGCAGTTTGTCCTCAACGAGCTGCCCAACGAATTGTTTGTCAGAGATGGCAACAACCTGTGGCACAACACAAGTATCTCTCTCGTTGAGGCGCTGTGTGGATTCTCCAAGGAGGTATTGAGCATGCTCCAAATCTCACGGCGAACACCCTGCAGTCTCTCGAACCACAGATCGATGCACATTTGCATGCATTGCCCAACAAGTGATCGGCGCATCAATCCATACGCCCTTGCACAGCAGTTGTGTGCTCAGCATAGGCATTGGTCACACAGTACAAACAACTTTCATAGGAAGGAAAACTCTCACGTGCTGGCTGAAAATTTCATCAGTTCCAGGCGCACATGCTGCTCACCGTGGTGAAGTGCTGCACGAAAAGCATGTGCGCCTCAAGGGGGTGCCTCCTGAGTGTAAGCATAACAGGCGCTCTGCACTGCGAATTTCGAGCAGGCAGCCAAGCTCTAGAGCGCGTGTCAAGATGCAACTCCTCTCGCTTGCAGAAAGTGTGCGCAATCTACCTTTGTATTTAGATCGTGCTGCACTGCTGGCAATTCTATACTACTATTTGTGCAGCAAATCGTATTAGAATATAGAATATATGGCGTGCTCTAACCGTATATTTAGGATGAAGTTTTGATTACTGTGTCTCGTTTCACATTAACTTCTGCAAGCCCTATTCATCCACCTATACGTTGCAGATCCTGTGTATTCCCGCAACGCAGATTCAGTCGAGTGAACTGGAGCTATTCCTTTTGTGTTTGGGGCTCCGGATGCATACCACTGTTGTGCTGTGGCGACGCCCACCCCGAGGCAGACCACTGCCACGACGTGCGCTGTGGGGCAGCAGCGGCACTGTAGCACGTGCTCTGCGTGTAGTGTGCACACACAGTACGCACGTGTCCTTTATGGGTTGTTTGCGGTTTGTTGTGCGCTGCGAGGCAGCACTGCAGTGCACTGCACTGGCGCCCCAAACCGGCCCCAGAGTGGTGGACTTGGGCTTCCTGTAGTTGATGGTCATCTGTTTATTCCCTGCAGATTACCCATCTGGACGGCCACAAAGTGGTGCTTTCGTCCAACGAGGTGACGCGTCCAGGGCAAGTCCGACAAATCCCCAAGGAGGGCATGCCCCTGCTTGACGACGTGAGTCGCTGTGGCCTCCGTCACTGGCCCGAAATGCGCCATCTCACAATTATGGATCGTGTTCAAAGCACTTGTACAGCTGAAAATCGCGGCACATCGGCTGTGCCATGTTGTGTCGGTTGTGCCACATGCTTAGATGGCTCCAAGTCGTGCAGCCGCAGTAGTGTCCTTCATTCTACATTTTCCATTGTGCGCTTTGGCCCTTAGTTCTTATCTTTCGTTCGACATCCAAGAACAACAGTGTCACGCCACAGCCCTGCCCTCGGGAATGTGTGACCAATTCGGTATCAACGCAGAGTTGTGAGTACACACAGACTGTGAGTGATTGCCCAAAACTTCCGAGGTGCCAGTGCGTTGAGGCTGACATCCACAATGGCGCTGGTTGCTGTTGCTCTGCCTTCTAGCAGAGACTTTGTTGGCGCTTGTGTTTCCGTGCAGTCCAAAGTTGCGTCGAGGAACGTGTGAGGAACATGCATGCTCGAAGTACCGCAACCAACCTCCGCACCACATATTTGGTTGTCTTGTTCACATACTCTGCTTCCTAATTGTTGCGTTGCTGTGGTGCGCTCTGTCAAGTGTGTAGTTTGTGCACTTCGCAATGCATGGGCGCAAACCTGGACTCCTGAGCCTCGTGTTTGGGCCTGGCAGGAGCTCAATCATGGCAGCTTGTTCGTCACGTACACGGTGGATTTCCCTCAGCAGCTGACAGAGGATCAGAAGGCGTCTGTCAAACAGACATTCTCGCTGCCTACTGTGTGACCTGCCGTGCTCGAAGCACTGGGGTGGGCTGTGCCCCTGCCTGTTGTGGTTAGGTGCCGCACTGAGAGCCTACGCGCCTGGCAGGATGCTGTGCATGGCTTCGTCTTGCGCTGTCAGCCTTCCTTGGCCATGAAAGATCGGGAATGTGCAGCACAGAAAGGCGCCCAGCAGGTTGTTCTGCAAATGCTGGCGGGCCAATAATTGTGTCAGGCGCAGGCATTGGTAGTATCATTTAAATAGATTGGCAGCGCCCGTAGACAGCGCAAGGGGTGTGGTGACAGATTCGGGGCTTCGGAAGATTTGCTGAGAGGGTTCGGGGTGCTGGTGCCAAGCCCTTCAGCTAGTGAATGGTTTGGACTCTCGTCCGCCCTGCGCTGCTGTGGGCTCCTGCAAGGGGCTGCGCTCCCCAAATTTGTATGCTTGCCGCTTTCTCGGATGGTGCATCGCCACCATATCCCCGCCCTGTGCATTGCCCGCTGATGCGTGCCCGAGTGTATTGCCCGTCGTTGTCCTTGAGGGGAGTTCACTGCACAAGCCAGTTGAAGCCGACTGCACACACCACATGTCGTGTACATATGTGTACGGTCATATGATCGCAGGATGCTGCACAGCGCGAGGCAGGTGAATTACCGGTGGTTGGAAATGGCGTTCCTGACCATGCGTTTGGGAAATGTACTCAGCGCTGGTTTGCCGCTATGTGGTGTGTATGTAGCAGATATTGTCAATCTATGAGCGTCCGAGCCAGGCCACGTTCGCAATCGCTTAGTCAACCAATGCACACTAAAGCGCATGAAGTCCCATTGATACACGTGATTGATGTTTCCGCATTCACCGTCACATCACACCATAAGCACGAGGCTACGAAACAAGTGGTGATATAATACGCAATAGCAAAATTAACGAGGCACATAAATGTAATACATTGACAGTGCACACCAGTAAGAGTTCCATCAGCCTATTTAGGCGATTGTTCGAATTACCAGTAATTGACCACTGATCTACCTCCGTCAATTACTGATTTGTAATCCGATGATTAAATGGTGGCATATGAGAATCCCGTTTCGAGGAATGCCATCAACAATATCTTTGGATGGCTGTCATTTTTCTCGATGTTTCACATGCAACTTTCCAGTTCTCATAACTGGAGGTCAGTGGCTGAACACTGATGTGCAGTGAAACTCAATGAGAGCAGTGAATACATATCAAAAAGCCAAGCTAAAGAGATGAAAGTCTGACACACCATGACAGGCGCAGCTGCCATGTTACGCAAGCACCTGTTCATGTGCCGGTTGACTGGTGCACACATTGACCCGATTGAGATGGCAGGAGGACGGCCGGCCAACAATTAGATTCAATCTTACTAATTTTGGGGATCATGAGTTGGCACTGTGGGGTGGAGCTGTGGGTTGGTGCTTTGGGCCGATGCCAGGGGTCGGTGCTGTGGGGTAGCGTGTTGTGCGTGTGCGAAGTGTGAGTTCAATCCGGCGCTCTGAGTGTGAGTGTTGGTGGGCAAAAAAAGAGGCGCATTCTGGTATTTAAAGAGAGCCCGAGACTGTTCGTGGCTTCTCTTGGTTTGCTTGTAAGACAAGTTGTGTCTTGGCTGCTTGTCCGACCATGCACGGCGAGTGCGTTTGAGCACCGCGTGCACCAAGGTTGCCACAGAGGTCGAACCAAAACGGTTTGACTTGTGCTGCGTTGTGGCCCATCGCTGCGCGTGCACTCGATTGCGACGAGCGGGACCTCGAACCGGGATGGCCAAGGAATTTTATCAGCGATCACACAGGGCAATCCCCGGAGATGCATTCTTTTGGAATACAGAAAGAACAGTCCACAAGCTGCAGCAAAAAGCGCTGCTCTGCCGGAAATCTGGAACGCCGCGGAAAATTTACTTCATCCGTTGTCCATTTCCAGAGCCCCGTCGATCATTACCACGCTCCAACCCAACGATTGCCCAGGCGAGCATAGGGTTAAAGCCGCGCCAGCCACCGTCATCGCGACTTTGCGCCCACGGCGTCCGCTCACCAAAGAACGTTTCCGCGAACGCCGCACAGGTACGGCCCCCGCGGCGCCCCCTCCCGTGGCCGCCCGCTCCCCCGCGCGGCGCCGGATCGCGGTGTGTGCTGATCCCCGGCTCCCTCCACAGGAAAACACCACCATGTCATTCGCGCAAGGCGATGATGAAGGGCGCATGGGCGGCCGGGGCGGTTATGACACGTCCCTCTACGACGACCGCGCCTACGACGAGAAGATGTCGAAATTGTGAGTGGCCATAGGGCTCGCGATCCCCCTCGCCGCCTGCGCCGCCCCCTTCCTTTCGCCCCGGCTGGGCCGCTAACCGCGCTTGCCGTGCCCGTCGTGTGGCGCCTGCGCAGCCTGGAGGGCAACGAGAACGAGTTTTACACCGAGTGGGAGGAGTCCTTCCAGTCCTTTGACCAGATGAACCTCGTCGAGGGGCTGCTGCGCGGGATTTACGCCTACGGTGAGTGCTTTACTTGCGCCCGGGACTTGGAAATTTTGGCAGGATAACAGGGGGTATGGCCGTCGCGGGCGCTTCATGGCGTTCGCTGGCGGCCGGGGATCTGGCGAGGGCCCCCGTGCTCCCGGGCGAGTCCGCGACGCGATGCGGCCTTCCGCTGGGGCCGTGCGCGGCTCCAGGCCGGTGGCGGCGTCACCCGTCGCCCCGCGCCTTCGCTGGATCGGCCCCCGACGGCTTGGCCGTCAAACAGCGCCGCACGAGCCGCCCCCTGTCGACTTGAGATCTGCCGCGCGCGTCGCGGGACCGGAGAGGGGGTGGGCGCTGGCCACCTTCGGTGCCGGGCGCTCGCGCCCGTGGGTGCGCAACGCTCAGTGAAGTTTCCGCTGTCGTGGAGCGATTGGGGGCGGTTGGGCGGCCGGCGCTTGGCCTTGGCCGCCGCGCCGCCTCGCCGCCGCGTGCGCCCCGCCGGGGGATCTCCTTCCGGGCTCCCCGGGCGCCCCGCGCCGACTCGGGCCGGCGACCTTTGGGTGGCGGCGCGGGACGCCCGATTTGCGTCCAAAGAACCGGGCGGCGATCGTATCGCCTGGCTCGGGCATTGGAGGCCGAGGCATGATCTGACGGGCGGGTGGACAGGCGCTGAGCGGCTGAGTGGCGCGGCTGCGCAGGTTTTGAGAAGCCGTCGGCGATTCAGCAGAAGGGCATCGTGCCCTTCACCAAGGGCCTGGACGTCATCCAGCAGGCCCAGTCCGGCACGGGCAAGACCGCCACCTTCTGCGCGGGCATCCTCAACAACTTGGACTACCAGTTGGGCGACTGCCAGGCGCTAGTGCTAGCGCCCACCCGGGAGCTGGCCCAGCAGATCGAGAAGGTGATGCGGGCGCTGGGGGACTACCTGCAGGTCAGGTGCCATGCGTGCGTGGGCGGCACCAGCGTGCAGGAGGACATGAGGATACTGCAGGCGGGCGTGCACGTGGTGGTGGGCACCCCGGGCCGGGTGTTCGACATGCTGCGCAGGAGGGCCCTGCGGGCGGACTACATCAAGATCTTCGTCTTGGACGAGGCGGACGAGATGCTCTCCCGCGGTTTCAAGGACCAGATCTATGACATCTTCCAGCTGCTGCCGCCAAAGCTGCAGGTGGAGACGAGAGCACGTTGGCTGCCTGGTGTTGGAGGGCTCGATCAAATGCCCACTGGGGGCCAGAGAGCTGCTCTAGCACCAATTGTGCCGTTGTTGCTGTGGCATAAGCATCGGCTGGTTGAGATGCCACCTGCTGTGTGACGACCGCCTGTTGCCGTAGTTGCATTCCTTCCCATTTCAGCTGATCCATGTGCTGCCAGCCAGAGTAGTAATCCCTGCCTTGTGGGGCTGCCCTATGTGCCACAGCACCTGGATTCATATTCATCTTCTCGATGGATTGCTGTGTGCGAACTCGTAGTCTTTGGATGTTGCCAGCCAATGCTCAGCTGCAGAGTTCTTGTGCCATGCAGGTTGGAGTGTTCTCAGCCACTCTGCCACCAGAAGCACTGGAAATTACAAGGAAGTTCATGAACAAGCCAGTGAGTGTGTCAACAACCAGAGGTCCCCAGAACAGCTGTACTCTTCTGTGTGTCTTATTTTGATTCTGTGGGCTGTGTGTGCGTGTGCGCTGAAATCGTTACTCAGGTACAGCTCTTTCCTCTTACAGCAAGTTGTGTATGAAAGACACTCCATGCACTGAGGCCCATTCACTTATTGGCTGCTGATCAGCTTTGTTTTGGTTCCCAATCGTGCATGATTGTCAAGGCCAAAGGCACAACTAAGATGTGTGCACGCAGCCAGCAACTGAAATGCATGCACAGGAAGTTGTTGTGCTCAGGGTTGCATTTGGGACTGATATATGGCCTTTCCTGGGTCTTGCCATTGCTGACGCCACTCTACTGCATCCAGGTCCGTATTCTGGTGAAGCGCGATGAGCTCACCCTTGAGGGTATCAAGCAGTTCTATGTGAATGTGGAGAGGGAGGACTGGAAGCTGGAGACTCTGTGCGACTTGTACGAGACTCTGGCCATCACTCAGAGTGTGATCTTTGCTAATACTCGACGAAAGGTGGGCTGTGGCAGTGTCAATCCTTTGACAAGTTCATTTGCAGATTTCACTGAAATGTACCCATTGCAATGCGATCGGGTGCCTGATTCTGGCAGCCTCTGTTGTGATGGGATAGGAACCTTGGCACGCCCAGTTTGTGGCTCGACTCCCTACTGTATCGATTGATCATCAGCACCCACTGTCACTTTGCTTTGGATCTTGACAAGAGTTTGCTGCCAGGCATGAAATAGATCATACTACCTCCTTTTCAAAAGTCGTGTCAGTTATCCAGTCTTGCTGTAGCTTTGCAAGATCAAATCAATTGGCCAATCTGCCACCAGATTCAGATTCCTTGGTCGATTTGATTTGATGTGGATCTCAGTTACATAAGTCGCCATAGTATAGCAAGACATGCACAGCCTTATCAAAAGCACCCCTGTCCACTTGTGTCGGGGCCTCAATTCCCTGTATTTTTGTGTCCACCTTATCACGTTGCGTTCCGACCCATTTCCCCAAAATTCTTCAAGAATCTTGTTGTAGACAACAAGTGGGCATTGCTACACCACTTCAAGAGTTTTAGTCTCATCGCTTTCATACTCTTTCTGGACCATATCTTCAAATATGCTGAATCGTGTTTCAACTATTGGCCCTGTTGGCAACAATGTACAACATCTTTTTGGTTAGCATCACCATGCACAGTTTTCCAGACCTTTTTGCACCTACCATGTTGATGCTCTAGCACAAAACAAATTGTCTCTTGGCCTTTGGTCTCAACATTTGCATAGTAGTTGTAAACACCCAAACTCTACAGCAAAAATGATCCTTGGCGCTGCGGATTCTGTTCGGAATCCAGCTATATCTTTTGTGGATGCCCAACCACAAAGTATACATCTCTCCTAAGGGTAGTTCGGCTCAATCAACCTGTATGGAAGGGCAAGACAAGCTTGCCATGGACCAGGTTATGTGCAGACACAAGGAAAAATGCCGCTGAAGCTCCTTTTAGCCTATCATGAGAACGACAGTCTTGTTTGCTACGTTTGAGGGCTCTATGGGTAGCTCTCTTGAAGGTGCATCGAGTTGTTTGGCCAAAATTTCTGTCTCACTCGTTTTCGACCTTCGTTTGGACCAATTGGGTAATGGACAAGACTTTCAAAACAGAAGTGATACATGTGTTGCCCTCTGCTGCACAACAGTGCACAGTTCTGGACAGGATCGATTCTTGCACTTCAAAGACACAAGGCATGGTGGTCAAAATGTGCTTCTGGGATGCAATAAATACAGAAGACAGGCATACACTATGCTAAAGCATGGAAACAGAACAGAAACACATAGAGTTTCCAGTTCTTTTCTCAGTTGTTCCCTAGCCGATCATCATGTGCTGTGTTGGCAGGTCGACTGGCTGACAGATCAGATGCGTGGTCGCGACCACACTGTGTCAGCCACCCACGGGGACATGGACCAGAACACACGTGACGTGATCATGCGAGAGTTCCGCTCCGGCTCGTCTCGTGTGCTCATCACCACTGACCTGCTGGCCCGTGGGATCGACGTCCAGCAGGTGTCGTTGGTCATCAACTATGACCTCCCAACGCAGCCCGAGAACTACCTGCACAGAATTGGACGAAGTGGGCGTTTTGGAAGGAAGGGTGTGGCCATCAACTTCGTCACCAGGGTGAGTTTGCAGTGGCTGTCAATGTAGGCTACACAGACTGGGAATGGCAGTGTTGCCCGGCATGAGTGTCGAGCTGTTGCAGGCGAGTTCCAGTGATTTGCTGTTGTCAGCAGTACGCGTCGAAACGATGCTATTGCACCTGCACTTTGAGAATCAAGCTAGTGTGGATCGTGCATGTTGACAGTTGTTGGACCTTTAAGTGACGAGGCCGCTTTGCCCCTTAATTTGGATTCATGCAGCTGGTTTCAAGCCTCCTAGCCTTCTGGACTGCTGCAAGTCTGTCCTGTGCCCATGTCGATGGGTCAAGTCGAAGGGCACGGTCGCTGTAATTGACGTGCCAGGCGTGCATTGGTCCGACATGCATGCCTTGTATTGGATGGAACACAATGCGCAAACCTGGCAGCAGTGTGTGGACATAACTAATATCCGATTGGCAAGGCAGCAACACCCCGAGGACCCCAAGAGTGTTTATCTGTGGCATTGTGCTAAATGGCTTGCAGTTTCCTCACTGTAGTTAAATGTGGATGTGTGGAGCAGTGGTGGGTACACCCAGCAGGTGTAGTCATCCACCAAAATTTGAAGGGGTGCCTAAAATTCAGACTGTTTGACATGAAGGATGATGAGGGCATGTTGAAGGACATTCAGAGGTTCTACAACACAGTGGTCGAGGAGCTCCCGAGGGACGTCGCAGATTTGATTTAGGGCGGTCTCCAGGCCTTCTGTGGTTCCACCTTCCCTGTCTGATCGTGCCACGTGCAAGGCAAGGGTGTTTGTGCGGAATCGTTTAGGTGGCCGTCTCAGGGGTGACAGGGAGTGTAGTGCCTGTCACACACGCAGGTTGCTTAAAGTCGACTGTGTCTGTTGGCCGACGGGAGTGGAGGTGTCATTCGTTGTCATCTGAAGCAGAGGCAGATTGTGAAGTATTGTTTGCGTTTTGGGGGGGGTAGGGCCTTGTGGGCTGTGTTTTGCGGGGTGCAATTCTTGTACAGTGGGGACGCCCCCTATATGCCTGAAGGGGGGCCCTGCCCGTTTGAGAAGAAAGATAGTTGCTTCTCTGGCTTGGCATATTGGGATTTAGAGTGCGAGGGGTGGCTGCCCAGCTGGGCAATGGCGAGTTCCACTACATAACTCGGATCCGCTGGTCCGATCAGCGATGGGCTGAGACCAGATACGGCCGAGCACTGCCCAGCGGACAGTTGCATCAAGCTGTTTATTGTAGGCGTAGATCTCGGTACTGGAATTTGGGAATTTAGAGGAGCGGTTTCGCACCCACACACGCACGCAGAATGGGGCACTTGGTTTCCAGGTGCTGACTCGCGGCACGCGGACGATTCGGGCAAGGCGCCCTGAGCGCACAAGACTTGGGCCATCAAGGGGGCAGGGGATCAACCACCAGGTGCGACCTGTTTGGACCAGGCGGAGTTGGTTGCGTGTGCATATTTGTCAGTGTAACCTCCTTTCATTGACGTCGGGCCGCATACTGTGGGTGGCGGCTGACTGCGACGCACAACACAGCACAAAAACGGCCAGTGTGCCTGGTCCACAGGCGCGGCGGCGCCACGGATGGCGCCCCTGAGGGTGGTCTCAGTGAGCGGCAAATTGCACAAGCTCAGTTCTGTTCGTGAACGGTCTGGCGAAGCTGCGCGGAGTGCTGTGTCTGCCCGCGATGTGCACCTGTGCTTCATGCATGGCGCACTACAGTGCGGGTGCAAGAAAGATATGCCAGTGGGTGCATTTGCGCCGACCTCCGTAGCCAAAACCACTCTGGCAATGGTCGCCCTGACTGAGGTGTAGCTTCGCATGCGTGCTCAGTTCGGTGCGGGGCTGGAACCCCAAGTGCGGCCCACATGTGGGGTCGCTTCCCGATCTGAACGTTCATTGAAAATCCCCTATTGTGATCACTCTCACGATCAATGCGGCCCAAAAGGCACACGCTAGCAGGTTTGGCAAACGGCAGAAAACCCATAGCCCGTGGGGAGGGTCGGCAACCAAGGGAAATCGACTTCGCGAAGGTATGGAGAAAGCTCGAGCGGGCGAATGAAGAAATGATCCAGTCATATTGATGCGTCAGAAAGGGGTGCTGCCTGGTCAGTACTTCGGGGACAAGCGCAGAAAGCCAACTTGCTGTGCAGGAAGACCACAGGGCAATGCCCATGATGTGGTGTGACAGTCATGCGTCCAGTTGCTGGACAGGTAGGAAGCTTTTCTGCGGCAATGGTTGTTTTCTGCAACAGCATTGCAGGGGTTTTGTCCGCGCCTTTATCTGTCGGTGGTCCGTAGCACGTCCGGCACCAGATCGATACTGCCAATGCGAGTGTCAACGCGCAAGCCCGATTCTGTCGCGCCGAGTTGGGACTGTGTACAGCAGATTGTGCCAGAAGAGCAACAGTGGGGCCGTAAGAAGCAGCGATTGCAGGAGATATTCTAAAAGCCGAGGAGTATGATGCTCCTAACGCGCGCCCAGAAGTGGGGAACCGTCATGGCGAGTCGCCATTGGCGACAGCACGGGAGGGAGTTGCGCCACTGGGGCTCGCACTAGTGCAGGTGGGGTCTTGGTCAAGGAGCCGGGGCGCGCGACCGGCGGGACCACATCTCGAGACGCGGCAGCGTTGTCGGAGTTCCGCGAAGGGCGGGTGGCGCTGAGAAGGCTGTTCACGCGAGGAGGGAGGCTGGCTGACGCTGTGGTCGGTTCTATTTCGGTCAACGTCCATATTATCTGACCCGCTGGCAAACAACTTCGGAGAAGCTGCTGCAGTGCTGCAAGACGACCTTCTGCGTCCGGGCCTCGTGGGCGCGGGATGGCTGGGGCTTGGACAATGAAGGGTGCAGCGCAAGGGCGGCGCAGCTTTTGGGACCTTTTGGGAGTTTCAGGCAACGAGTTTCTTTGCCGTCAACGCATTGACCACACTCCGACGCTTTTCTGTGGCGGTCTGTGCGGCAACCGAACCTTCGAGACCCTCAACCGAGCGCCGAGAATTTGGACCCTCCTCGGTGGCTGCCAACTCTCTCGCCGCGATGTTCTCAACCGGCGAAAGTCTGGCCGACTGGCGACCGCCGCACAGCGGAAGCCCACAAGGCGCATTCCCTTGCTGTCCCCGTGCAAGATTTTGGGTAAGTACATTAGCGCAGTGCGACGCAAGCGGGGGACACAATCCGCGCATTCAGTTCACCGTAGCGGTAGAGCCCCTGCAACCCGAAGCCACAGCACACTCGCGCCCCCCCCCTCCCCCCCAATGCGGCGCACCTCGCCCCAAAAGAGCTAGCATCGGCAATTTCCACCGCCCACTTCGCCTGCTTCGCCCACATCGCCTACTTTACAGCTCACCAACCAGCAGCCACCCCAGGGTCAGCGGCCCCCCGCCACCGTGCTGGCCAAGCGCAGACGATCGTATTAGGGGACGCCTTTTTGTCGTGCTTGGCGTCACCGCCGCTCCCCGCCCCAACAACCTCACCCCCACCCCCCGCCCCGGCGCCGATCCCAGCGCCGCCGACGGCGCCACGCAAGGCTGGGCGCCACCCAGCCTTCCCGTTCCAAGGGTACGGGATGGCGGACCGTGTAGGCGAAAGGGATGATGCGGCGTTTGGCGCCTGGGCGAGGCTGTCCGGCGCCCTGGCGGGGGCCCCGGCCGGATTCTCCCTGATCAAACATTGCCCCCTGGGCTGGGCGCCGCCCACAATCGCGCGCCCCCCCTGGCGCGTTCCGGCGTCCACGGTCTTGTGCAGGGACTCGAACGGCGTCGCGGCGAAGGGGGGGATCGCGCGGGGCGCCTTGAGGGCGATGATGCCGTCCGTGTGGTTCGCGGCCTGCACGCCGTACACGTGCCTGGAGGGGACGATGGCGAGGCGGGGCGCGCTGGCGGGCCAGGCGGTGGACTGCATGCTGGCGGTGGAGGCCAGGCGGGCCGGGAACGGGGCCGAGAGGAGCGGGAACGGTGGGACAGGATTTGGGATGGGGAGGATCTCTGCAGGCATGGCGGCGAGGAGCGGAGAGAAGGGGGAGAGCTGGTGCAGAGAAGGAAAAAAAATCGAGGCGGACAAGATGATCGAGGGGGAGAAGGGAGGGAGGGCGAGGGCTGGGAGGAGGCTGGAGACGGCCGGGCGGCTGGCGGCGGGGATCGCAGCCGACCAGATGCCCTGGGCGCTGCGGGCCAGCGCATGGCTGCTGTCGCACGTGTTCAAGCTGCTGTTCGGGGGGGAGATCTACGTGGACGCGGCGGCGGTGGAGAGGGCGAGGGCGCTGCAGGAGAGCCACACGCTGGTGTGGGTGCCCACGCACAAAACGCACGCGGACTACATGATCGTCAGCTACGTGCTGTTCTCGATGGGCCTGACGTGCCCGCACATCGCGGCAGGTGCGGGGCCGCAGGGCTGATTACGTCTCCGCGCGGGGGTTGTGAGAATGGGCTTGTGGAAGATGTCGGAGGGGGGCTAGTCGCCTAGGCCGACAGCGGCTATCTCGATGTGAGTGGGTCCACTTGCGAATGGCCCTGCGCAAAGTGCTGGTCAATGCCTGGGTCGATGGTGGCATTCCCAAGCTGAATGCCTACAGAGGTGAATGGCTGCTACGAACAGCAGACTAAGCATTGGGGCTGCCATCCTGTGGCGCGAAGGCGAATGTGCCTGATGTCTGTGGCCGCATGTACCTCAGTATGAACTGCATGCTGACGTACTGAACCGTTTGATTGCTTGCCTGCAATCCCACTGACCCAAGGGGCATGGAACATGAACCAACATCGCCAGGTGTGTGACAGTGCCACAAATTGCTGCCACTGACCCAAGTGACATAGCACATGAATCGGCATTTTATCCAGATGCTTGACAGAGCCACACAGTGTCACCAACTCACATATGGCCATGAATTGTGCTCCTTTTGGGGGGTTGGGGAATTCTGAATTTGTCATCGTTCACTGTGGCGTTGAAGCATGTTGAAGTAAAGAGAGCTTGCAGTGCTTAGAGGAGAGCACTGCTGGGTTGGATGAGACTGCGATCCATTGGGCTGCTTCAATCCAAGACTGGAGTCCCATTCCCTGCCTGCTGGGATTGCATTTTGCCATCATTGTGGTCAGTGCTCGATTGACTGCATCACAACATTCAGCTGTGCCTCAGCTCTGCCCATGCCAGTCACTGCAAACTGCCCAAATGCTTGTAAATTGCAAGATGTTCATCTGGAGTGCTCAGAATCTTTGCGCGGAAATGGGTTGAATAGTGTTCTCAGGGCTTGGCGCCTCCACATGCGGTGCATTGCACTGTGCAGCGCTCTTCTGACCCTTGTCCGCATCCAAACAGGCGACAACCTGAACCTTCCATACTTGGGCCTATTCCTGCGCAGACTGGGGGCTTTCTTCCTGAGGAGGACCATCCGGGGTTCGCCCGACAGCGACATCTACAAGGGCGTTCTGGCAGGGTATGTGGAAGCGCTGCTTACCAATGGACACCCAATCGAATTCTTCATCGAGGGAGGCAGGACCAGGGACGGCCACATCAACAAACCCAAACTCGGTATACTGGGGTATGTACTGGCGGCCTTCCTGGATGCTAGCCTGCCAAAGAACGGTAATGTTGCCATCATTCCTGTGGACATTGCTTGCGACCGAGTCCTTGAAGAGAAGAGCATGATTTCCCAGCTCATGGGAAAGCCCAAGCCTCCCGAGTCCATCTGGGGTATGCTGTCAAGCCTGTTAAAAATCTGCTTGAAACCACTGAGATTGTGGTCAGGACAGACACATTTTGCAGGCCAGGGAGGGCTCTGCGGCGTGGCGACTGTGTCCATTGGCGATCCAATCTACCTGGGTTCGTTTTTCAAGGAATATACCCAATCTCGCAACAACTCTCACAACACAGCTGGCCAGGCTGTGGACTTGCACAAAGCCCTGCCATGGGGCAGCGGCGAACGATCCTGCGCATTGGAGTCCCTTGGGATTGCCGTGCACCGTCGTCTCTTGGATTGCCGCATTGTTCCCTCGTCCTGCCTTGTGGCCTCAGCAACATTGTTGATAGCGCTCAGGAGGGAGGCTGCTGGAGATACGGCAGGCTGGATATCCTTTTCAGAGGTGCATGAGGCAGGGGTTTGGCTTGAAGAGAGGGCAGCAGCCCAGGGGGGCCGATGCATGAGTTTGAGTGGCCACCGGTTCCAGGCCAAGGCAATGCAGCGGTCAATGCAAGCAACTCTGTCTCTTATGTCCTTGTCAGCAGAGTGCCAGTATGCTGGGGATGAACCTGGTATAGTTCTGAAGCCAGGAGCAGAATCCATGCTGGCAATGTACTCGAGGGTGACGCAGCTGCTGCCCTTCATCGCCCCTCAGTGCTTGGTGTCCTGCGCCATGCTGTGGGTTCTGCAGGGTGGCTCTCAGCGCGCGGGCTCCCCCATGGCCTCCAATATCACCGAAAGCAGCCCTGCTCCCCCTGTGTATGTGAAATTCTATCAGTGCGCAGCGTGGTGCAACCGGGAGCACGTTGTGCAGGCAGCACTGTGGCTGCGCGCCCTGCTGGCACCCGAGCTGGACTTGCTGCTGACGGAGAGTGGTTTGAAAACGGCAGAGAGCCTCAGCCAGGTGCTTGATTCCATGGTGGCAGAGGGCACTGTGGCAAGGTGGGAGCCAGGGTGTGTCCAGAAAGAAGCCATGGCAGGCGTCGTGTTGAATGGGTCGCATTCTGGAGTGGATTCGCTAGTGGTATGTCAAAACACTGGTGCTGAAGCTGTGGACGATTCGGTGGGCGCCGTGTGGGAGCGGGCAGATGATGTTGTGGGAGGCGATGGGGAAGGGGCGGAGCGGAGCAGTGGCAGTGGGGGACTGGTGCCGAACCTTTTGTGGAGCATGGCTAGCGATGGGACAGGGAGCAATAGTGGGGAAGGCAGCAGAGACGGATCGCCCAGGATGTGTGAAGCACCAGCTTTGTCGTATGCACACCTTTTGAGTCCGGTTGTGTCCACGTATGTCTTGGCCATGGGCGTGGTTCTTGAAATGTTGGGAGATGGGAGCCATGCGAGCACTTCAGAGAAGGAGCTTTCCAGGGCCATTCAGGAGCGCCTGATGTCGAAGGTTGAGTCAGGTCAGGCACGCGTTGTGCCATCAGTGACTTTGATAAAGAGGCTGTTGCATTCGCTGCTGAAGGATTGCACCCTGGATGCGTGCCATCTCAGCATGCCTGCCCCCATGCTGGTCCGAGTATTCGACACCAGCAACTCCCCCAGGCCGCCCTTGCACCAGCGGTCTGAAAGTGTACTGTCAGACATGTCCTCCATGTTCAAATTCCGCGAGGAAGGCGAGCCGACCAGGGAGCAAGATGGTGCTGCTTCTCAAGAACAGCCAGCCAGCGAGGCCAGCAAAGCCCAACTGCAGACTAAGCCCAAGGAGCCCTTGTGGCTGATGGCAGCCTGTCCAGATGACGTTCAGAGCTTGTTGGAGCAGCTCAGCCTCTTCACTGTGCAGAGAGGAACACCGTTTTTGGAACTGCAGCAAGTGGGGTGCAATGAGGCATATGCACGTTCTCCTGAGCCGCCAAGGGATGGCTTCCACTGACTGCCCCTTACCGTTTGGTCATTGACGCATGATGTCCTTGGCAGCGATGTGCATTGGCCCTTTTGGAGCTTTGGTCCAGTCCGAGACTGACACCTCAAGAATGTTGCCTCCTTCAGGATTGCTTGGAAACTGATCTCTTCTGGGTTCTTCAGCCCCCCGCTGCAGCACCGCTTGTGCATCGTTACAAGACTAGTGTCACAAACAGGGCCATCAGCGCTTTGAGGAGATCGACCAGTTGCTTGGGGGGTGTCTCAGTCTGCTGCGCTGACGAGATGTCAGACGCTTGTTGGAGCTCTTGTCCTGTAGTGCATGGCTCATGCGTCCATGGAACGTTCTGGCAGATGAATCGCAATGAGCATATGGATTGCATGGCAGGCGCTGTTTCCAGGAACTGTTGCTGTCGTGTCGCGCGTGCTCTCAGCCTCACCACCAGGAATGACAGTTCTGAATCGCTGGATGTGGTATGCGCAGATGTCACAGCTGTGTGATTTGAGCGCTGTTTTCAAAGCAGCGCCCAACTTGGGCGCAGCCAGGAGAATGCAGGTTGGACTTGTTGCAGGGGCATAGAGTCATCATTCTTTGGCTAACGTGATGTATTGCAGGTGTGGGCCATGGCCTGTCTTTCTTGCAGCTCTGCTGCGGTTTCTCGTTCCACAGTTTTGTGATGCCACTGTGATTCAGTTGACATGGCTCACTGTTCAGGGCGTGTGGTGAGGGGCACCCAGTGAGGAGCGATGACCAGATGGAAAGCAGATGCAGGGAAATGAGATAGATGGATGATTCTTTATTTGTGCCATTTGTCATGGGGCGCCTGCAGTGGCAAACTGGTATTCAGCAGTGGGGCACGGAACGCAAGCTTCTGCTGGGTGGGCCATGCACTCTTGGTCTGTTGTTGATCTGAATGACCTGGGGAAAGGTTGCCATGGGCGGGCGGGTGGGTATTTCCTTGCTTTTTCTTCTATTTTGTACATCAGATTCACTTGCGTCCCCTCAGTACAAATTGCTGCGCATCCAGTGTAAGCACTCTGCTCACTGTTAATGTCGCAAACCGTCAGCATCTGGAATTAGGGTGGACGCGGATGCAATATTGTGGCTGCATTGCCATTGATGCAGTGCCGAGCAACGCTGCAGCTGGGCATGTGCGTTGGCATTGACGCAATGTTGGCACACTCATCAGTGCTTGCCAATATTGATGAACATGGTTTGCAGCAGCGTTGCTCGATTTGTACCAACGGCAATGCAGCCGCAGTGTTTGTGCCAACGTCTACCTAGTTCCGGACGAGCATCGCTTTGGACTCCCTGAGTGTGGGACCGCATCCTGGATGCTCCACAGTGTGGTGTGCAGTCGGTTCTTAATTGCCAGAATTCTGCCTTACCGGTCTCCTTCAACCCGTGTTCCCGGCACGACAAGACATTACACTCAGAAATGTATTGGTGTACATCACCGTACTACTACAATACCCGATTGGCGACCACCTTGAAATTTGCCACCCGCTTCGCATAGAACTTAATGCGACGCTGATGGTGACTCAACCCTGAGTCAGCTCCTCCCTCCATCCCAGAATTGCCCAATGGAGCGAGTTCCACCAGAGTGGACCGGATGGGTGGGAAACAAGATTAAGGGGGGTGCCAAGGGTCACGCCCAAATAGCCGTTCCCACTTGCCACCAAACTTTCCGCCAAACCCAAGGGCCAGCTTGACTGGTCCCCTTGTCTACGCACAGGTTACAAGGATCCACTGGTTGCCCATTGGATCCGGGTAAGAGGTGACAGAAACCGGTATTTGATGGCCCTGAAACAGCCCAAAAAGGCAGTCAGGCCCAGAATGGCCGGGGCGGGCCCACGCAACTTTGACCTTAGTAGAAACTCATTAATAGGGTAGCTAATAGCTCAGCGTAACAAAATCGACACAGTGTCTTCCCTAAGATTGCAGCGTTAGCGTAGTTAAAGCGTTTATGTCCAGACGGCACAGGGTGGGCAGCGCCAGATTGGGATGAATGGGAGACGTCACTTCTCTTAAATACTATGGGACAATTTGAATTCGGCAACGGAGTACCAGGCGCGGAGACGCGCACTGGTGATTGGCAACCAGCTTGGACCTGGATTTGGTGTTCTGTTTTCTGGACTCACTGGTGGGGGAGCCAAAAGGGGAGGCGCGCTAGTGAGCGCCATCTTTTTTGTTGCCGAACAAAAATGGATCGTTTCCTAGGCCTGAGCATTAGGGACACGCAGACCAAAAAGGCAAAATTGTCATGCCCGAGTTCCGGATTTCTCTCTGTGCATCTCTGTACTCTTTGTACCAATGGGATTTGATCAGGACTTCTGGTGTGAGCGCGGCTGATTGCCCCAAAGGGTGGGAGTAGCCAGCCGTTTCACGTAAATCACCAGTCCATGTTTGCGCCCACCATTGCCAATACTCATTGAGTAAAGATGATGGCAGGAACAGCTCAACACTCGACCTGATGGCATGAACAGCTCAACATTGCGTAGTGTTTGATGCACAGAAAGGGCTGGGCGTGTCAGCGAAAGGGCCAGGCGAGTAATTGGATGATGAAGACGCCACATCGTGCCCGTCACAGTTGTGGCTCACAACGGCCATTGCCATGGGGCTCCCAAATCTATTGTTGGGAATCCGCCGGTCCGCCGGTCTTCACCCCCGCCTGCCAACGCTGACACACCGACCCCCGGCAATTGCGCCATCCCCAGCCCCCAGGTTCCTGTCAGCACCCGGGCCGTCAGCAACCGAGCAAAGGGTCCGGCGCCTTCCCTGCAGAGCGCACAGACTGGCCCCACCAAACTGCGCACCAGCGGCGCCGGCAGACCCCTCCCCCCCCCACCCCCCACCCCCTTCGCGGGGGCTCCGTGCCGCCCTGGCCCTCCACTTGCAACAGCGGGCCCAGCCCGATCGGGCAGCGTGACGGAACGGGCACGGCGAGGGGCGGGATGGCTGACGCCCCGCTGCATTGGAAGTCGTCCCCGTTCGATATTGTGAAACACCCGCTGATGTGTAAGTCGAGCGGTCGGCAGTCCCGCGTCTGCACGCCTGCGGGCCGTTTGGAGAGGGAACAAGGCGGTGGGGCGGGACGCGTGGGGAGCCTGGATGGTGTTTGTCAGCGGAAGCCAACGGGCAGGGTCAACACAATCGATGCGTCGAACTGTATATGCGCATGTGCGAACGAATGCTGCGAGGAGGGTGGCCGAGGGCCTCGGGCTCGCGCCCGGCGCCGGACGCGCCGCGACGGGGCTGGATGAGACCTTCGCTCAACCCGCTCGGAAGTTTGGCCTGAAGGGCTGACGAAGAATCCGGCGAACCTGTGCGCTATCGCAGGCCTGTCCACGCTCTGTGCGCCGCCGACGACGTACTACCTCATTTCGGAAGGTGAGCTGGGTCGGAGAGGCGCGATCGGCGCAGCGACCGCGGCGCCGGCAACGTTGCTCGCGGCGGGCCGCGTGGGCCCCGGGCGGCGCTCCGATGGGCCCCCTGGTTGCAGGGGAGGCTGCCAGATTTGCCGGTCGGTGCTGTTGGAAGAAGCGGGGCTGTAGCCGGGGGAATGTGGGGCACGGTGCGACTGCTGGAAGCAATCTGGAGCAATCTGGAGTGGCCGACTGTCTATTGGGCGAAACGGATTTGCCGTCAAAGGAGGATACTTGCCTCCCTGCAACAGTCCTGCACTCGCGCGGGAATATTTGAGTAGTCGCTCGCGCGGATTGCGACCATGGGCGGGACGGACTTCCAACAATGGGTGTGTGCTCATGCAACAGCGGTCGAAGACGTGCCCGCTCAGGCTTGGGAGGCTTTGCTTGGGGGATACTGCTGTTGCGTGGGCTTCCAAATCCGCACGAGACTGCGCAGGAAGTACAATCTCCAGGTCTGAGCTGGATTCCTGTGATGATGATTCCTCCCTTGTGACCTTCCAATTCCCCTCTGAACTCATACATTCTTGCTAACTTCAGCGCAACCATTTTTTGGCAACACCCTGATGGCCACCCCTCCCAGATGTGCAGGTTCATTGCCCATCCCTTTGTGGCACACTTCTGCCCAAGACTTCAGAACTGAATTTTTTTAGAATTGTGCTTTCAACTCTGCAGTATGGAAAAGAGTCTCAAAAAAGCTTGCACATGTTGTTGACCGTGGGCATTGAAAACATTGACATTGTTGCCTGTTATTAAATGACAGAAACATGACAGCTTCAGTCGTCAGTACACTTCTCAAAACCAGCAACAGCCACACTTCCACTGGAGATCTACCCCGCACAGCCTCTACCTTTCTGCAAATATTCATGGCCGAACAATCCCCTGTCTCCAGGGCCTCTTTCCAGCACAGGGAAACCCATAGCACACATTTGCCATCCTGCTGTGTCTCTGTGTCGCTGCCATTCTCCAGGGGCACGCCAGTGCCAGGAACACAAGGTGCCTGGAGCCTGACTCATGTCTTGTCCTCTGGTCTGGGGTGCAGGGCAACAGGGTGGAGGACTTCCTTGCACACTGCCTGTGAGTGGTCCTTGCGAAGTCCCTGAGCCTTTCAACCTCCTTGAGAACACACACCAGACTTCAGTCTTGGACATGTGTATTGCTGTGTGAGAGCAGTTGCCCATTCTTGGCTGTGCAATCATGGCTGCTGAATCTACCTCGATAAAACCGTTTGTTATGTGTAGTGCACGACTTCATTGGCACATTTTGTTGCTGATTCTGCAACCATCTGCCAAAATGGGCAACCATTATCTGATCATGCTGTACACATGGGCATCGTTCTGGAACAAATTTTCTCTATTATGTGGGGGGTTGTCCAGCACAGGACAACACAGAACACAACGGTCTGAGTTCACTGCAGTGGTACAGTGGGCAAAGGTCTTACATGGGCTGCTGCCGTCAGGCATGGTGGAAGCGAAACGGTGAAAGCAAGTGTGAGCACTACATGCATGCACCAGGCCCGTCAAGAGGGATCTTGATGGACATTTCACCAAGCCACTGATTCCTTTTCCTGCTGCAGATGCCATTGCT